TATAGAGCAGGGACAAGCTTTTAACTCAGTGTTGTCCAGGTAGCAAATATTCCTGTTGCATCCCTATCTTACTCCATATTTCTAAAGAGATAAAGAGCTTCCTGCCTAATAGAGTGAAAAAAGGGAGTCCATTACCTGTCCTGCAGGGTAGACTCTCAACTGTAGTCCTTTGTGTACCTTTCCAGCTGGTGCAACACTGTGGCTTTGTTTTCTACTGCAGCCAACATCAGAAACTTTTCCTAGGATCTAACCACATCCTTCCACTTGAGTTCTCAGTCCAGCTATTGTGCGTACCTGTTTTGGCCAATGATGAAAAGCTTCCTTCCAAGTGCTTGGAGCTGACCTCAGAATCCTGCAGTGACCCCGTATGAACCCCCAAGCCAGAGACACACATTATTCCCAGAAATAATCACAGTTGTGAATCAGGTGATGTCTATTAGCTATTTCTTCTTGAAAGGGTTTTTTAGGATTGCTTCCTCAGCACTGATCTCCTGTCTCAGTTGCCCCATGGTCTCTACTCTTGCTGCCCAAATCCTTGCCTGGAACTCTTTATGTAAGAACCCTTTACTGTTACAGAAACCAAACTAGAAAAGGATTTCCATAATATCTTCAACTATAAAAGCAGCTGCAGTTTTCATTTTATACATAAAAATGTAATACTTACATTTTATATCTTTCAAAAATGAAACCCAGTAACGCCTTGATGTGTTGGGAGAAAGAACAGAAGTGGAGAACTAGAAAGCATTTTATGTACTGAAAATGAGTGTAAAATTATTTAGTATAGTGAAGATTGGTGTAAATGTTGTTATGAATAATAGAAGCAAAAGGAAAAAGTGATAGGAAGTGAGAATCATTAATCATTAGCAGCTATTACACTTGGTTATTTTATTTTTTATTTTTTTTACAAGTCTAGAGATGTGAAGGCCTGGAAGAGACTCAAAAAATGGGCCAAGGTGAGGGTGGAGTAAAGAGGGGGCAGTAGCTAATTTTTTAACTTCATGTTTGTTTTTGAAAAGAAATTAGAGATGTCTCAATGCCCCAGAGTTGCACATGTGCTACTGTGCTTAAAAATACATAGGCCCTCCAGACATGCTCAGTGCTGCTCCCAGTGGCTCCAAGCTCTTTCTGGGGTGGAAAGGGACACCCAGCTTAAGGCAAAATCCTATGCCTGCTTATACAGCAAAATGGCCTTCAGATTGTTTATTTATTGAAAACATTTCTATCTCATCCTTCACTGGGGTCCCAGGATGCAGTACAAGACTAAAGCACATCATCAACAACAAACAACAAATAAAAATCCATTTTTAAAACAATGTCAGATCTTAAAATATTGGTAAAATAAAAAGGTTTGGGCCTGGCACTGAAATAAAGTGTTGGTACCAGGCACACCTCTCTGAGGAGCAAGTTCCAAAGCCGGGGCGCCACCACAGAGAAGGCCCTTTTATGATTAATCACTCTTCTGATCTCCTTCAAAGAGGGCTCCTGAAGAAGGACCTCTGACCCAGATACCCAGGTCCTAAACAATTTAGGGCTTTATAAGTCATCACCCATACCTTAAATTGGGCCTGGACTTCCACTGGAAGCCAGTGCAGGCAGTAAAGGGCCACTGTTGCATGTGCATATCTGCCAGTCCTTATTAACAGCATGGCTGCTCTCTTCTGGACCAACTGAAGTATCTGGACCACCTTCAAGGGCAGCCCCACCTAGAGCGCATTACAAGAGTCCAATCGGTAGGTTGCCAGAGCATGGGTCACTGTCGCTAGGCTCTGCTCATCCAAGTCAGGGCACTCCTCACCACAGCAGTTACCTGGAACTCCAAGGAGAACCCTGGGTTTAGGAGCACTCCCAAACTATGCACCCTGTCCCTTACCCCATCCAAAACAGGGCAAAGATAACTTACCTGGAAAGCTGAACCACTTACCAATGGGACCTCTTTCTTATCTGGATTAAGTCTCAGTTTATTGGCCTCATCCAGCCCATCACACTGGTCACACACCAGTTAAGGACAGACACTGTCTCAGCTGGACTAGATGTAAGAGAGGTAGAGCTGGGTGTCATCAGCACACTGGTGACTCCTCAGCCCAAACCTCCAGATGACTTCTGCCAGCGGTTCCATGTTGTTGAATAATGTGGGGGATAAAATGGAACCCCGTGGAACTCCGTGGCACAGAGCCATAATCTCCCAGCACCACCACCTGGAATTGGCCAGCCAAGTAGGAGCAGAACCATTGCAAAGTGGTATCCACAATCCCCAGCTCAGCCAGCCTATACCATGGCTGATGGTATACCAAGGATTCCATGGCTGATGGTATGGAAAGCCACTGAGAGGTCCAGGAGAACCTGTCCCTCTCCTGGCACAGGTCATCATACAGGGAGACCAAGGCAGTTTCCACCCCATAACCAGGCCTGAAACCAGACTGGAATGGGTTCAGATAGTTTCCTCCAAGAGAGCCTGGAGTTGTCCGGCCACCACCCATTTGAGCACCTTGCTCAAGAATGGGATATTAGTCACTGGCCTATATGGTGACAATAGCTGGTTCCAGGTTCACCTTCTTCAGGATAGGTCTGAACACCACCTCCTTCAAGGGGGTGAGAACTTTTCCCTCCCTCAGAGGCTTTAACTTCTGGACCCAGGTACGCATCCCATCTTTGGCTTTGATAAGCAGCTATGAAGGGCAAGGGTCAGGTAAACAGGTGGTGGGACCAACTTGTCCCAGCACCTTGTCTGCATCCTCAGGCCGCAATAATTGAAACCTATCCAACAAAGACGGACCAGATGGCACTCTGTACGCCTCCTGTTTCAGGACCACATCAACTGCGGAGTCTGTGGCAAATCTGAGCAAGATCATCCCAGTGAGGTGCTGATGGTGTGATGGGATCTGTCTTAGGCCCAGAATGTAATAGGCCCTGCACCACCCCAGGAAAGCTCAGCTGGACAGCACTGTCGAGGCTGCAATGAAGGTGGGGAAGAATTCCTTCTTCACCACCCTCACTGCCACAGCATAGACTTGATAATGAGCTCTAAGGGGTGTTCTGTCAGATTCTACTTGGATTTTCCTCCACCTGCTCTATAGTCACCTCCCAGCCTGCTTCATCGCCTGCAATTCACAAGCTCTCCATGGCAGGACACTTGGGAATGATTGGGTCAGCAACCTGGGTCATTTCTGTGTTCTACAGATTAACCAGTTGTCGACAGGAGCGCCAGTCATATCAATCGGAAAATCCTCCAGAGCCCTCAGGAATCCACCCAGATCCATAAAACTCCAGGGGCAGGCCAGTTTAATAGGGCCGGTACCCTTACAGAGGGGGAAACTGGCTCCAGGCTTAAACCGCACAAGGAAATTATCTGACCATGATGAAGGGGTTAATGTTCATGTGTTGGTTGATAAGAATTAGTTCCCAGCAATCCTTAGCCCAGATAGCTAGCTGGAGAGTGCTGACACTTGTGAAACTGGTTTCTGTTTCCCCATGCATCAACTGCACCCTTAGTCTAGGCTAGGCTAGGCTAGGCTAGGCATCCCCTCTCGCCCCAACCGCAGCACGAGGAGCGAGCTGTGCAAATGGGTGATTTGTTCAGTGCGTGTACCTCTGTGCCCCGAGTCATGCCTTCCTCTGCCCTGCCCGGGAGAGCAGCCTTCTCACAGCCAGGCCACCTGTTTCTGCATGCAGACTGACAGCACAGAGTTGTGGTACATACAGCTCTGTGGTGAGGCAGTAAATTTGAGACTGGTGTGCAGGAGGGAAACGACAATTGGCAAAGCATTTTCTGCTCCTGGCATGATTGACAATCGTCCCTAATCAAAAGCTTGGTTTCATGTGTGTTTGAGTTGGGAGAGGCCATGGAGATTACACATGCATGCACCCACAGTCTTCCAGAGACCCACACCACACATCTCCTCATGCAAGAATGGAGAGCTTAACACCATTCACTGCAAGTGGAGAGCTAGAGATTCCTGGGAGCTGGTGGAGGCTTTTCTGTCTCCCCTCACCCAGCAACTGCACCGAGTTTATACTTTTGCCACCACTGTTAACTGGTGGAAAAATATCCATCTTAGATGCAGGATGGTTGGGAGGCTAGAAGACGCTCTGCCCATTCCTGTTCACCACTGATCTCCAGCAAGATCCCTGTCCTAGTAAACACTCCAGCTGATCTTCTGGGTCCCAGGAAATGGAGGGTGGGCTTCCACCAGTTCTGTGAGCAGCACTGGAAACAAGCAAGGGCCACATGGGGGTTATGTACCCCTACTCTACAGTATTTGAATACGACTGGATGGAAATGCCAAACAGCCATGGGCCTAACCAGTCATTCATGGAACACCACTTGTCCCAATTTACTGTTTGACATTGGACCTCAATGTATGAGTCCTCTTAACTTTGTGGGTACCACACTACTTGGTATGGAAACAGAAGAAGCTCAGGAACTCGGCACAAGCAGCTCTTAAACATCAGATTGGGATGATCATTGTATACCTGTGCTTATCAATATCTGACAAAGCCCTGTGCATAATTCTTCAGGAGTAAGTTCTACTGGGTTCAGTGGGCCTAAGTCTGAAGAAATGGAGCACAGTCTTAACTGAGACAGAAACTTCAGCCTTAAGGATCAACATATACTGTATTTTGAAGTAGTGCGTATCTCAACAAAGGTTGGCCCCTGATTTTGCACAACCCAGTTCTCTTAGAGAGTTGGGAGAAATAATGTTGAATTCAAAACAATTAACGGATGCAGTAGCGCATCTTTTCCACATCAAGGTAAGTAAGTTAGCTGCTAAGACTATGGTTATGTTTGACAGCATTTTCATAGAGACGATGGTCCTATGCATCAAAAGTGGCAGAAGACTTTGCAATCCTAGCATTTGTCTCCCCACCGCCCATCTCAGGCAGGTCAGATTGCATCAACCCCGCTGTGTACATCAACTGTTGGAAGGATGGCACCTTGATCCCCTACCCCTCCTGAAAACCTCTGGAGAGGCAGAAAAGAGACATAAAACACTGAACAAAAGTGATAAAACATTTCACTATTTACTCTAGCGATAGTAAAGATCCAAGCTGGGAAGCGTGGAATCAAAGCTCTGTTTAAACAATGCAAAGCATGGAGGGGCTTCATTATGAAGCTAAATAGCCTTCACTCCAATCTGGCATTGAAGCTTTCTTTTATGCAAAGGGGGGTGGGGAGTACATAGAATAAATTCTCCTTCTTCAAGGCAAAAATTACTTTGCTGCTCCCATAAATACAGGTTTTCCCAAACTCACAAGGATGACTAACAGCTTCGGATCCTTTCCAAGACAGCATCTTGTTCTTTGGACCATTCCTTTTGCTACTCTCCAGGAACATGTGGCAAACAGGAAGAAATTTTAAAAGTGCTTTAGTGATTGCAGTGGGGACACTCCTTGGCTCAGTGATGTTGTGACTGATTTGCTGGGGAGTAAAGTGTCTCTTGCCCAGGCAGAGGTTTCCTTTCACATGCCACAGTTCCTGCAACCAGCTTGCAGTAAGCTGGAGCCAGAACATTGCTTTCAAGAAGATGAACATGGTCTGAGAAATGCATTGCTCCTTTTCTGCAATTGTCAGCCCTGGACAATCGGAACTTGAGATAGTACAGCAAACTTTTCCAACTTATTTTACCACAAACCAATGTGGGATGAACATATATATTGTAAATAACAATCCCTCTTTCAACTACCTTTAACTTTCTCAGTGTTTTGCTTGTGTGTTTAAGCCACAGTGTGGATATGTGCTCTGGTTTTTCCTTCTGTTTTTAATTTAGCCCCCAGTTCCACTCCTGCTAAGAATAAAAGAAGGTTTAACAACTCTAAGTAGGGTGAACGGAGACACCATCACAGCACAGGGAAAGGAGCTGAACAGGCAGCATGCTGTGCTCTTGCCTTCACGCAGACTTTCCCATCCTTTCCAATTCTGCAAATGGGTGTCTCCAGGTGCAGCTCACCACCAGAGAGAGCTGTGAGCAGGAGGCAGGGCAAGCTGGTTGATTAAAAGGGGACAGACTGACGGAAGGCACTCTTCAGACTGTGGAGCAAAAAGGATGAACTAGAGGCACAGGTCAGCCTTCCCCTACCTAGAGCTCACCAGGTGTGTTGGACTGTAATGCCCATCATTCCCAGGCAAGTGGAGATGTTAGGAATGGCAGTCCAACACTTTGTGTAAGCCTTCCCCCGCCTGATACCCTCCCAGAGGCAAACCACACAGTTATGAGGAAGCAGGTTCCAATCAACCTTTGGGGAGTGCTCTCCCTCAGAAAATTCACAAGGTAAAAACCAAATTAGTACCCAGCAGTTTCAGCCCTTCCACTCATGGGGCTCTCCTGAGGTCAGGTTGCTGGATCCCACTCTAAACAGCAATGACATTCCTTCTACAAATGACGTTCCTGAGCCCTTACTCTAGTTTGGATGCAGTGCAGCTGCTTTGTGTCACTTTTTGCTGTTTCCAAGCATGAAACCTGAAGGATGTCAGAGCATCGTCCTTCTAGGGATCTGGCAACTAGGACCAGAGGACCTGCAGCTATCTCTATCTAGTGCCTGGCGCCAAGATTTCTGCGTTATGGCCAAAAGCATAGAAACCGAAGCCCTAAAAGGAAGGTGCGTAGCAATGAGGCAATTTCTTTGTTGGAGTCTCCATAAGTTGCCAAAAGCCCAGTTCCAGCCTGGGCCTACATGGAGAGACTAAACCCAGTGTCATGAGAACTGTTCCTCAAACAGCTGGGATATCCAGGCTCCCAGCACAGCATGGCGCATTCCCCAAATGCTGAGGAATTGGCATGCCTCCAAAATCCACACTGCTTTCAAAGTTTTAGTCAGACTGGCATTCACGGAAGCGGAGCAGGTCTGGCATGTCCTGGCTCCCTAGATCAAGCGGAAGGACCTCAAGACCACGAGGGTGATCCAAAGTCATTTGAGAGCTTGACTTGGCTCATACGCCACCAGCAGGGGGCACTGCAGGACGCGGTCACTCCAGGAACTGGTGAATGTCCCCGTTCAGCTGGTACTGGGGGCCCATGGCAGCTTCGCCGAGCAGCGGGCAATAAGCCGGGCCACACCGGCAAGTGTGGATCATCATGACGTTCTTTGAGAAGGAGCTCCCGTCCGGGCAATGGAAGGGCACGCTCAGAGTGCGTGTGCGCAAGGGCACACAGCAGCGGCCGTCCAGGCAGGCCCCGCAGTGACTGGGCTGGTAACGCCGCGGGCTCTTGCAGCCGGCATAGCTGAATCGCACGGGCTCCTGCACTTTGTGTGTCCTCAGGCACTTCTTGCCCTTCTAAAAGGAGGAGAAACAGCATTTAGCACCACACCAACTGCCTGCCACCCCTGGGGTGGGCGCTGGGGAAATGCTGCAGGAAAGCTGTTGATTGGACCCGGCTTCCCCAGCCTGGCACTCCCTGCCAGATGGGTTAAACTAAAACTTCCATCACTCCAGCTGGCTGGCTTGGGCTGATGGTAGCTATAGTCCAACACACGTAGTAGGAGGTGCCAGGCTGGAGAAAGTCAAATAACACTCTAGCAGGAGCAGCTCAATGTGATAAACATCTTGGCGTTCAATCAGAAACATTCCCGCCAATCCCCTTCCATCCACTATCGGGCACGGACACCTGCCTTAGCCCAAGATTTCCCCATGCACAAACCCAGGGCAGAATATTTCATAGTCTTCAAATGCTATCCCATTTTTACTGCTCATATATTTCCCTATATGTTTGAAATTGTTTTCATGGTTTTAATGGTATTTTAAATGCATCTTCAATGTCTGTATGAACCACTTAGAGATTTTCATATATTTAAGTGGCATACAAATGTCATCGACAAATAGCCTTGGAACTTGTCCTTCCTGTTAGACTATCTAGTTCTTTACAGGAGAAAACCCACCATTCTGGACGTTTGAAGGCTTAAGCGTAAGTGGACATAAGCATCAGCAGTGCTGCCTTCCCATCTCACCCCTCCGGTGCCCCTGCTGCCTTCTTGCCCCCTTTCCAAACTCACCTTGAGCTTGGTAAAGTCAGGCTGCCCACAGGGCCTGATCTGACACAGCTGGGTCTCCTTGATCAGTTTGCACTGGGGGTTGTCACTGGAGACGCGCGTCGAGATGCCAAAACCGCAGCTCTTTGAGCATGGCGACCAGTCCGTGGTCTGAGCCAAGCATTTGTGCTGCTGTTTGGCCACAGGACTCTGGAAAAGTGGCCTCCAGGCTGGGGAGAGAAGGAAAGCCCCGTGAGTTTATGGCCCTACAGATAAGCAACGCCCACATCTGCGCACTGCCGGCAGCCACACACACAGTGGAGAAAACAATGAGGCTGAGAAGGGAGTTAAAAATAGATTATGAAGCACATTGCTGAAAGGGGGTTCTTGTCTGGCAGAAGGCAGCTCATGCTCTGCCCAGGGGCTTCCCAGGGACCTGGAGCTGCCCACACTCATAAAAAGTGCTGAACTCGGGATGCCTGCCCTGGGCAATTCCTGTTCACAGACCTGCTGCTGTGGCAGCCACACTCCTCAACATGATCACTGTGGGAAAAGGCGAAGGCAAATCCATGCATTTGGGAGGCAATTTGGAAGAGAAGGTTGTAGGAGAGGAAACAGAAGTGGAAGAAACAGCGTGGACATGCAGCGGCCAGGGGCGCGGACACTGGCATCAGCGTGCCTGACACTCTGGCAACGGAGGAGCCCACCCGCTCCCCGTGACCCCAGCTGACCTCCTCAGTGCAAACCCCACCTTCTGTGGGAAGGGGACGTCCGTGTCCACCCTTTTCCCAGCTGCCACCAGGCAAGATGCAGGAGCAGCACCTTCCCCTCCAGTTGCATGAGAGCAAGACAACAGAAATGCTGCCAGGAGGGCACCCCCCCCCCCGCCCCACAGGGGCAGAATGCTTTTGGCACCCTCCCTTCCAGCCACAATTGAGCCTAGCAGAAATAGCAGCTGAGAGGGAAAGCAAATGCAAGGGAAGGATCACATTTCATGCCCCACAGGAGCAACAGATTTAGATCCTGAAAGGGCAAAGGGCTACTCCCACTTTTACCCCTCTTTTTGTTGGGTGCCCAGCCTGCTCAGATGCAGCTTCCAGCACAAGGGCTAGCTGCTCATGCCTGCCCTTGCAGCAAAGCCATTCTCATCTTTTCCGCTCTTCTGGCCAAAGCACAAGCTTTCCAGCATGCTCTGTGCTGTGGTGGTTAAGAGCCTGGGACTGGGACTCAGAGGATCTGGGTTCGAGTCCCCACTCAGCCATGGAGCCAACTGGGTGGCTTTGGGCCAGTCACAGACTCTCAACCCAACCTACCTCACAGGGTTGTTGTTGTGGGGATAAGATGGCGGAGGAGAATGATGTAAGCTGCCTTGAGCCCTTTGCAGGAAAAAGGCAGGATATAAATTGATAAATAAATAAATAAATGAGAAGCAGGTAGCAGGAGGTAAGGATGCCAAGGCATTCACCAGTATGATTAAGCATTATTATTATTATTTCTAAACAACACCACATCAAGAGACAATGACATAAAACCCAAAACATCAGGTGTAATAAAAATGAATAGATTCATGCATGGGAGTGGGAGAATGTCAGGATTCCAGTTCATGGCCACCAGGAGAGCATGGGAAATGCTGAGAGTTGCAGGACTCCCTTTTGTCTAAAGATGTATAGAGTTATGCTTCAAGTAACTGTTTGGTCTTTCCATTTAAGAGAATGCTACCCTACCTAAAAAAGAAACCCTACAAACATTATTTAGGCAAAGCCTTTGGACTATCCATCTTCAGGATTCCGAACCACTTAAAGTTATGAACCCGCACACACATTCCCTACCGTAGGGCTCGTCTCCAAATTTACAGGGATGTGCACACATGCTCTCCAAGGCAAGACATAACTTTTCCCATGGAATGTGGCAAGTCTCTTCATCAAGCAGCCCAGGAAGATCCAGCCTGAATCAAACGCATCCTCTCCTGCTGCCACGACAGGTTTGCATCATCTTCCTCTCAGACCACTCACCTGGCAGGTTTTTCCAGTGTCCACCTTTGCCCACATAAATGAGCTCGTTGCCAGTGGTTTCTTCATTGGTGTGGTACCCCAGGCTGACCTCTCCGTATGTCTTGGGTCCTTTGCGGCACACGAACTTCTTGCAGCACTGACCGGGCACCTTAAGGAGCCGTGGGCTGGGGCAGCCCAGCGAGGCCAAGGGCAGCTCCATCGGGCAGAGTGGCTGGCAACCCACGGCCCCATCAATGCAAGTGCATTGATGTTTGCAGCTGGGCTGGAAATTCTCCCCATTCTGGTAGATCTGGCCGTTGTATTCACAGGTCCGACCTTCTTGCTTTGCTGAGGAGGCAAAAAGGATGAGAGTTATTCTGTTTTAGGGGTCAGATTTTTTAAAGGCCAATACTACACTATCAACCTTCCCCAATGAGGTGCACTCCAGAGGTTTTGGACTGCAACTCCCAACATTCCTGAGCAGTGGCCCTGCTGGCAGAGGCTGATGGGAGCTGCAGCCCAAAACATCTGGGTAGCACCAGATTAAGAAAGCCTGCTGTGCATCTATTCAACCCTATCACTACAGGAGGGGACTCAACTAGAAGCTTCTGGGTCATTTTGAAACATGACACTGCATCATGGAGGAGTTCTGGGCACAAAGCAACTCCAGGCATACTGCACAGGCAACCTGAGGCCTCCCAGATGATGTGGATGACAACTGCTGCAAGCCCAGGCCAGCATGGCCAGTGGCTGGGGATTATGGGACTCGTGGAAGTCATCCACATTTTCTGAACATGCTCAAAAACACCAGAGAACAAATGTTAGTTTTGCTTCAGGAAAAGATTCTTCACTGTCTGCTTGGTCAGACAAGGGGACTAACTGTATAGAAAGTGTGTAGACTATCTCTCACTGGAGGTGCTCAAGCAGAGACTGGACAGGTCTCTGTCCGAAATGCTTTAAACTGGATTCCCGTGCTGAGCAGGGTCTTGGACTCCATGACCCTTCCAATGCGATGAGCTGGTGAAAGCGTGCAGAAGTAAAAGGCAGAGCAGGCTTAGGGTACCAGCATTAGACTGAGAGGCATTAGTGCTTCTCTGCAGAACTGGGTTTTGAGGAAACATGTCAACAAGAGGAGTGTTTTGAGCTTTAAATAGCCAGTGTGAAAAACAGGATGTGAAGAGTTCACAGGGCTTGGGATCAAGTTGCAGCAGCCTGAGGCTGGCCTGGAACTGAGGAGTCTTGTGTGGAGATCCAGTGTGGCTGGTCGTATCCTGGCCTATAGAGATGTGGCCTTCACTTCCCTCTCCTGCAAGCTCTTCTGCATGTTTTCACTGGCTCTCTGGTGAGCACCTGCTCCTGACCTTCCTTGTCCCATTTCCCGGCAGGGCACAGGACTCACCCACAGGGGAAGAGGTGATCCCAGGTACAAAGACCCTGGTTGACCCAATTCTATAGAGGTCTGAGGTAGCCTCACTTCACAAAATGAGGTCTCAGGGGAAGAGTGCTGTTTTCAGCTGCACCCCATGCAAGGAGGGAGCAGCAATGTAGAACAGCGATAGACAACCTGGTTTTTTGAGACACAATTCCTATCATCCCTGACCATGACAGTCGTCATCCAGAATGTGTGAGAGGCATCAGGTCGCCCAGTGATCATTGCATATATGGAGACATGGGATGGGAAGCATTCCACATCAGCCGAGATCTGCAATATTTTAAGAAGCGAGTGGGTTCTGGGGTTTGAATCCTACACACATTCGTGAGAAAAGGGCAGCTTTCTCTGCAAAACAGCTGTGAAGACATTTCATCTGCTCTGCCCAGGAGCTGCTGCTCCTCTGATTCTGCAATTTGGTTTTCTGCCCTACTGAAAGACGGGGAGTGGCTGGTCTGGCAAAATGCATGGCATGCCTGCGAGTGGAGTGGGGGCAGAGACCCAATCAAACGGAGCCACAATTTGAAGTCCCATTACTGCCCCTCGGACTCAGAGGTCTCATGGATCCTTTTCCCTCCCCTCCCTCGGTTCCCACATGCACATGGATTACCCATAATGGGAGCTGCAGCACATCTGGAGGGCGTTGACTTGGTGGAGCCCATTATAATCAATGGAAAACTAAGGGTGACATGGTATAAATCTGGGGGTTTGGGAGAAGAGTCTGCAATCCACAGGCATGTGGAAATCGGGAGGTGGGGCAGAGGCAGGGGGAAGGATGCATAAGATCTCCCGTAATGGGAGCTGTAGTCTAGCAGTTCTGGAAGGCACTAAGGCAGGGAAGCCTAGACAATAGCAATTACTCTCCTCATGGTGGTGTTGTGATGGATTCCTCAGTTATTAGCACCTCTGGAGGAGGCTGACTAAGACATAGTGGGAGGCACTGGATGATCCCAGGGTAACTGCAGTGGGCTCAGAGAGGGTCCTGAGGCACCCTCTCCCCACTCAGTTCTCCCGCTGGTACCGCAGAGGACCTTGCAGCACCTTTGTCTGCTTTCCGGCCCCACCCTCCTGCCCAGGTGATCAAGCTGCCATGCGGTGGGGAGAGAAGTGGCTTCCCCCGGGTATCCCCGGGAGATCAATTGCCCTGGCCAGCAGTAGAGACAGGAGGCATATGCACCTGCATCCCTGGCCCCGTTATCCTGCTCCCTGGCACTGCTGCAAGTAGCGGTGGGGTGTGGGGAAGCAGGAATGCGGGTGCCAAGCTGCTGCACTCGCCTTCCGCTGGAGCGGCTTGCTCTTACCTGTCCACATAGTGGTGGTGGGTGAGATTCAGCCTTGAGAGGGAGCACAGCTGAGTAGCCCCTTCCCCTGTCTTTGTCCTGTGCCTCATGCAGCAGAGCCAGGAACATGGGGAAGGGGAGTGAACAGCAGCTGCTGCCCAGAGCCCTTTGTCCAGGAGGGCAAACACTTCTTGCCACTCTTGCCCAAGCTGGCTTTATTTTATTTTATTTTATTATTTATTTATTAAAACATTTCTATGCCGCCCCATTCGCCAAAGCCTCGGGGCGGCTCACAACATAATATAATACAAAAATAACAATATAAAATAAATAACAATATAAAAGAAGTCGCCCTGGCCAGATAAATAAGCAAATGCTGTTAACAATTAAAATGACACTTAAATAAAAAGGTCTTCGCCTGGCGCCGAAAAAACAAATAACGACGGCGCCAGGCGGACCTCTCTGGGGAGCGCGTTCCATAGATTGGGTGCCACCGCTGAGAAAGCCCTCCTCCGGGTACTCACCCTCCTAATTTCTTTATGTTTTGGCTGGACTATGGCTTGTTGTGTCATCTGAGGCCGGACAACAAAGAAGCCGTCTAACCCTAAAACAAGCCAGAGTGACTTATGGGCCACCCCCCAGAAAGCATGCGGTTCAGTGGACACACTAGGCCATAGCCCTGTCGCTTAGCACATCACGCAAACCCAGCCAGTGAGTTTGCCCCATCTGCCCTCAGCCTCGGTTTCACCTGATGGCCGCTTCATAGCTCCCCTGACTTCACCCCTGAAAAGTGCCACGGGGGCATGGGAGACAGTTGCTCCTGGTCTGACTGCTAAAGTATAATGAGAACGTCAACACATCTTTCCTGATCACAGCCACAGGTGCACGGGAGAATGAGCAGGTGGGAGCCAACTCTCTGTAGCCCTCCTGGTTACAGAACTAGGCTCCAGTGGAAGCCAACTCTCCAGCTGAAGGTAGCAAGTGCTGTTGCCAGTGTGAGTCCATCACCCAGGGGACAATGGCATCAGCACCTGCACAGCACCTAACGCACTCGGTACTGGATCATGGTAGTGTTTTGGTGTTGTTGATAATGATGTAGCTGAACACAGCACAAAGTCTGAACGGCCCCCAAACAAAGAAACCCTGCAACAGATCACCACCATGAACAAGATCATGCAGCAAAAACCATTTTCAGCAGTAGACACGTAATGTATTGTTCCAAATAACACTGGTTTAAAGAGGGTGTACTGAATCATGACTATTGTTGGTGAGGGCCAGTGTGAAGAATTGATCAGGGTGCTGGGACTGGGACTCATTCATGTGGCTGACTCTGGACCAGTTAGACTCTCAGTCTAAGCTCCCTAACAGGGAGGGTTGCTGTGAGGATACAGTGGAGAGGAGGAAGACAGTGTAAGCCACCCTAGGTTCTTTACGAGGAAAAAAAGGCAGCGGTTAATGTAATAAAAGATGGGGAAGGTATGGCCCTCCAGTTGAAGCTGGATAGCAAGTTCCATGAGCCCTGGCCAATATAGCCAATAGTGAGGGCTGCTGGCAGGGGCAGTCCAGTAACACCTGGAGGACCACACACTCCCCATCCCAGACCGATGCATTGCATTAGCTCACAAAGGGAGCTCACGGACGGCTCCAGACAGCCTGCCAAGGCTTCCGCCCACACTGCAAGACCAGAAGCGCCATCTGCACCATGCGTGCGCCCAAGATGCGAGTGGGCCGCTGCCGCCCCCTCTCCGTTTCTCTGCTGCGTCTCTTACCCCAACAGATGCCCCGGCTGGCCAAGGGATCGGCCCCCAAATTGCACTCCAGGCCCTTGTGCGGGTCGCAGGGCGACAGCGCGTCACAGTCTTCGTAGAGTTGCCGGGCGCAGACTTGGCAGCAGCCGCACTCGTCCAGCACCGTGCTGATGCCGGGGGGGGCAGCGAGGCGGCCCGGCGGGGCAACGGCATGTGGCAGGGCAGCGGCAGGACACCTGCAGAGACCGCGAGAGACAGAACCGGCCACCTTTCAGCAGCCCTCCGAGAAAACAGCTGTGCGCGTCGCTCGCAGGGTTAAAAAAGAGCTGCACCACCGCGCCCCTCCCCTTTTACACCCCTCTCCGCCCTCGTAGTCTATTCGGGGTGACAGACTTCGCCTCGCTGCCTTTTCTCTTAAATAGGCGACGCCAAAATAGTTTCCTAGATGGCGCTGCGTGCCACGGAGTCCCAGCATTCAGCGTCCCCCTCCGCACATAACACCGCCCGTCCCCTCCGTCCCAAATAAACCTCAGCAATAAAGTCTTGGCACGATCAAAGCGACCGCCACAGAAGCACCGGGTCCAAAGTGTCGGAAAAGAAAACCTCACTAGCTTGCATGCGGTGAGCGGCTTACTTGTTCTATTCCTGTTCTCGCCAGCTATAGAATAACTCCGCCGGATTTAGACGGGCATTGAGATTTGACCGGATTCAAAACCGCGAAGAGAACCGCTGTGGTCTCCCGCAGCATTCAGAAAGGGTCAAAGAGGGACCTGGCATTCGGCATTCGGCACTCAGCCTGGATGCAGGTAAATGAAGGAAGCGCGCGTTTGCTCTGGAAAGATCAGGGTCCGCTAGATCTCCTGGCCGAGAGCGTCCACACAGGGGGCAATCCGACTAAGAAGCTGAAATCCGGAGCTCAGGAAAAGACCTCCTCGAGGATGTGATCAAACCCGTAATAATTTCTGCAGCGGATTCGTGGCTGGTCGCTGCAGACTCTCCTTGTCAGCAGCGCCGTACACTCAATTCACTTACCGAAGTGGAGGCGAAAGAGCTGGCCAAAGACTACTCACCAGAGAGATACACAGCAGGAAAGTAGCGCTGGGCAGGACAGCCAGCCGCATTGCTGTTTGATGAGAAAAGACGGCCAGAAAAGGGGACAAAATGACCAAGCGGGATTTTTAAAATGACCGGGAAGCGAACTCTCGGGGAGATCGGGATAAATTAGGGTTCCTGCGAAATTATCCCCAGGATTCCTCGCCTCTCTACGCTCCCAGGACACGCGCACACCCCGCTACACGCAATTTTCAGTACCTACAAAGCAACTACGCTGTTTCTGTATTTATATTTCCACGGAGCCCCTCCCACCTTCCGGGCTGGGAGCCAATAGGAACCTCCTTGTCGGCCAATAGCAACGGTGGCGCAATTCCAAACATTCCAGGGGAGGGACTTTGGAAAGGTGGGAGGGGCCGAATGAATAGAGTCATTCATAAAATTAGAAGACGAGTGCATTCCGAGGCGATGTGCGCGTAGTCTCGCGCTGGCCGGGGTGTTCCGCTAGCAGAGTAGCATGGAGACTGCTGAATAAGGTCCCTGCTCCCACAGGGCACGTCAGTGCACAGGCATACCAGTGTGAGGATCAGTCCCTGCCACAATCATTCCTGACATGCATACATACGGAGGGGATATGCGTGAAAGAAAAAAATCACCACAGAAGGCAAATAGCCAGAGGGAGGGCAATATTTCCTTGCCAGTGTGAGCCTTTGATCTGACAGTGCAGCAGTCCGAAGGCCCTCAAAACAGTGCAGTTATTCTGGGGAGCTAGAACATATGGCCAAGATTGTGATCCTACATCCTATTTATTTGGGAAGAGACCCTCGGCAGGATCTAACCATTCTGACATGCATGGATGACAGAAAACACCTGGAGGGCATCAGGATGGAGAAGGCTTTTGTAAAACATTAAGTACGGCAAAAATATCACCAACTGAATGGAGAGGTGGTGGCAGGGAGTACCCCAGGCCTGTTCTGTTACAAGAGGCCACGCATCTTCTCTGCCTTGAGTAGCTTAGAGCGATATGTGGTGAGTGCTTTGTCAGGCATGCTTGCTTTAGTTGTCACATTTTTAGCTGGTCAAACGCTGCAGAGGTCCAAGATTAAAATTTTAAACAGATCAAGTTTGCAGTGAAGCCGAATCCCCCCTTTCAAGTAAAGCTCCTTCATTCCACCAAAACCCACACAAAGCTGACATGATTTAGCATCACTGGTCTCAGAGCTGGTTCTCACCATAAACCAACAATGCTCCACCGACATGTATGGGGCCAGACATGTATGGTAAAATCAGCCATTCTGGGAATTAATAGGACAGGATTCATGCTACTTCCCCCGCTGAGGTCCCAACCCAACATTTTTTCCATGGTTGTTCCCTTATTATAGCTGCTAGTAGGAACAAAGTCTACCCTCTGTATATACACAGAAGATATGATAGGTTCACCAGAGCAGTTGCTCAGAGGAAAACAAGGAAAATACGACATGTCACCATGAGCAATCTCGGATTAATTGGCCCCATAAAATTGTCAGTTGGTCTATAACAGTTCACACAGCTCTGGCTATGAGTCTTAACACCAGTTTCTCCAAGACGCAGGAGATTTTCCTGATGCCACCCTGTCCATCTCTTTTGATCTGTCTTTCCCATACACATAGGAACCAATGTCCATTAATATCTTTGCAAAGGGCAGGCTAGAATTAGAATGACAAAACTGGCTGCCTTGAGAACCTCAGCCAAAGCCATGGAGGGGCCCAGCTTGGGTGGGCGGGTTGGCGATCAGCACCTTCTACCACTAGTTTCAGTCCTCCCTCTTCACATGACTCATCCAGCCACCCAGAATCACCACAAAAGAAGGAGTGCTGCACCGGCGGTATTCTGCTGCCAGCTCAAGATGCAGTCAGTGACATGTTCTTCCTGATAGCAAGTTCTGAGTGGACAATTCAGAGGATATGTCTGTACATCACTTTGTTCCTGATCACTCCTTTATTCGCAGTTTCGTGACTCCTAGAGGAAGATGTGAGCTGACTCACACCACACGAAATTTAAGCATTATATTTCTTTTAGATACCTTGCAGCTGTAGGACACACCTGGCTGGCCTACATTAGACCGAAACCAGCAAGTTGTCCCAGGCATAAACACAACAATAGAGAACCTCCAGCACAGTCACAGACAGTGGGGAATCGCTGGTCAGAGATTAAGCAACCTCCTGTCCAAAAGCCTCCAACTCAGCCCTCAGGTAGACCACTCCCCCGGGTGCATGCAGTGATCGCATGGATTCAAATGGGCCAACCAGGAATCCCGGTAGGAATGTCCTTGCTCCCTGTTCATACAGGATATAAAATGGGGTTCCACCAAGCTCCCAGGGTTGATTGCCGTTTTGCTGTGATCAAACTTATGCTCAAGAATAAAGCTACTTTTTCAATCTCTTACCTTTGCCATGCTTAATTGGGATGAGAGCGCCAAAGTCCGGACTTCTTGTGTCCAACACAGCCAATATTTGTGGTCTAGAGGTATTCTTTCCTTCCCTCAGTTTCTGTAATTTTTAAGATACTCTTATAAAACTTGCTTCCTAATTGTTTTCTGAGAGGGTTAGACCACTTTTCCAGTCATTTCACCAATCTGCAAGACAGGAAAAGATGACATAATACCAGACTTCCATAGATGGGCTTGCACGAGGCTCACATGCATCACTTATGTCTTTCAAAGTAAAAAAAAAAAAGGCAAGTGTGGCATGAACTTGAAATGAAGCAGGAGGAAAGAACTAAAGATCCAGCACTGCCTGGCCTGGACAGCTCCCATCTGCCATATCTGCTTTGTATGTGTGCTCATGCACGCACACACACATGCACACATGGTAAGTACTTAATAGGGCATTCTCTGACTCGAGTGAGGGCCAAATCAGCATGATTTTGAAGGTGTGGCCCTCTCCTGTTTCCAAAATACTCCTAATTCTGTTCTGAGCACAGTAAGCAAGCAATGCGGGTTCTAGCTAAAATTGCTGTTTTATTTATTTTGCATTCCTTTGTCTGAAAACTTGTCCCTGAGCAGCCCCTCTGAAGAAAGGCATTGCAAATGCTTCCTTTCATGCAATCCTTCCATCTGAAGGGCTAGCCCTAAGGCAGCATCTCAGAACTGCTGAAGTGGGAGCAGGGGGGGGGAGGGGGCGTCTGTCCCTGGCCCAGGGTCATTCGGATTTGCAGATCCTGCTTCCAGGTGGAGCTTCCTGCACCTGTTTGCTTTGGCTCCTTTATTCTGAACAACATGTTTGTGGGTTCTTGTGTCTCCCAGGCTTTGGAATTTGGTTTTGGAAAACAGACTTCTATTCTTGAACTCTGCAACTGTGCAAGTACATATGAGCCTTGTATTTCCTACCATCTTTTCCCACATCAGGACATACGTGTTTGCATACGGAGGGGAAATTTTTATAATCAGGCTAAAAAAACCAGCATTTCCATTTTTTCACAAGCCTTTCCACAAGCCTTTCCTCTTGCCTCTGATAAATGGTCCAGATCCAAGGAGGTAAGCAGTCATCTGTTTTGCCTATCTTGATAGAACAATGTACTTTTCAGGGCAATACTGTACTTGTCTATTCAGAAGTAAGGCCCACTGAGTTTAATGGGGCTTAGTCCCAGGTAAGTAGATATAGGGCTGCAGCAACCTTAGTGTGGCTGTGCATTTCAGCCCTGCCTGCTCCCTTACACCCAAAGAATTTTTTAAATACTATTGTACTCAGCCAGTTGGTAAGCAGGAATCTTGGGGATATTTAAATAAGGAAGGAGTCCCCCCCGAGGGTGGAAGTAAACACATTAACGATAAAATATTTGGAGGGTCTTGGTTATTTCACTTTTGTTTTTTAATATGGAGCTGGCTGAGGGAAAAGATGAGGAATGTAGCAAATACCTCCTGCTTAGCCACTGGGTGTTCCCAAATCAAAAAAGCATCACTGGATCGGGAAAGTCACCCGTCCAAGACCCTTTAATGGATCCAGGGGGTATCCAGGGTGGCGCACATCTGTCACTCCCCGTCTTCAGCAACGGCTCTGTGGCAAGCTGGGCAGAGCTTCTTGTGCTTCCTTTTGTTCCAAGGGTTTTGAGATCTGTCACAAAGGAACTCAGTGGTGGAGGGGCTCCCATGTCTAGGAAGTTATTCTGATGCCTGCTCCGGATGGGGTTACTCCCCCTGAAGAGGCAGGTTTGTGATCTGTGGGGTGGCTTACACGGACCTCCTCCACTCCATTTTATCCTCACAACAACAACCCTGCAAGACAGCTCAGGCTGCCATGAGTGACTGGCTCAGTCACCCAGGAAGCTTCATGGCTAAGTCAGGATGAGAACCCAGGTCTCCCATGTTCCCACTCCAACCCTCTAACCACCACACCATACTGGTTCTTGGGATTGCTCTGACGCGGTTTATGTGGGCTTGCACTAAGGTTAGTCCTGAAACTTTCGTGGAGCTTGGTAACAGGCATTCCTATCACCAGCACATTATAGCTGTGCTGAGGGATGTGTAATGGCTCCCTATGTACTGTCATGGCAGACGGATAGCTGTGCTTATCTCAGGATTTTGGAGGTCCAGTTCATCATGGCTCAGGATAGGGCTTTTGGTATCCTAGCAACTACTCTCTGGAATGCCCTGCCAGTAGAAATTAAGCAGATGCCCACCCTTCCAGGTTGCTCGCACTGAGTGCAAACATGTCATTTTCAACAGGCATTCCAAGGAAGGTGATCTCATCCTCCCCACATCACTTTGCATTCTTAACAATAAATATTAATACGTACCAATAATGCAATTTAAACACATTCAGATTAAAATGGACTGGCTTCTCTGGAAGTTTAATTTAGCCAGCTTCCTGTATTTGTATGGCCTAGACATCTCATCCTTATTAACAGAGGTGATTTCCTGTTTCTGCTTCCTATGAAGAAACCAGTGGTCTAAAATTCATGTGGAATGGAGCTTCAGTATAAATCAGTGCAAAAGTAGTCAGGAAACAGGGTAGGCAGGTGGGCAGGGAAATTTGTTTATCTAGGAAGATAACATACAAACAGGACCTTCATAAAAGAAATATAAAAGGCATCCACAATCTCATTAATATCTTCTTCTAACTTAGTTGTGAAAAGCTAAGAACATGTAAAATTACTTACTTG